TTTAAAAGCCAAATGACATAAGATAGATATCGAATAGGCGAACTCTCAATGAGCTCATCATACGATTTATGCAAAAAAGAGAGGCGAGAAAATTTTCGTTTGATATGGCACATGATCTTTAGCACAATTAAGAACGCATTCTATTGCACATTAGATGAAAATTCGCGAATTCACCGTTGACTTCAGCAACTTTCTGGTAGGATTTATCCTACGATTGGTCACGTTTAGATAATTTGTACACCGTTTACTGGTAGGGAATTCACTTGATGACTTCAGCGAGAAAAGAAAAAGAAGACGTCAAATACTGCATTGAACAAATATCTACAATAGACAAGCAAAAAGTGCAAACTTACGATCTTTCTTTTCCTTCTCCTGTGTACTAATAGGTTCACTAAGTTCACTAACTGTACTAAGTCCAATTGCTGTGATAGCTTGCACTTTGAATACAAATGTGGTCTTTGATGGCAGACCTGAAATAACTATCTCCGTATCATTAGCTGTTGTATTGATTTCAGTCCACTTGCTTTCTTCCATGCTGTCATTTTTGTCAACTAATATTTCACTACTGTATTTTCGATACATAACTTTGTATTTGTTTACTTGTTTAGTTCCCTTTGCTACATCTGTCCATCTTAATGTCACATTATTGTCTGTAACATTTTTCGCATATGGTGCATCTGGTTTACTTGGTATGATAAAGCCTTTTTCTTCTGATCCAGCATCGTAGAGAATAAGTTCAGCATTTTCAATATGATCAACTAAATATTCTTCATCAACAATAAATTTTAGTTTTTCATTGTCAACATTGTTCGCTTTTGCAAACTCTATAAATTGTTGTACATTTTTTCGAATTTTTGCTATAATACGACGGTCTTCAAACCATTTTGTGCTTTTTCGACGACTGTTCGACGAGTTCAAATTGGGCTTATCATATCGATAATTGTACATATCACTAAGTTGCGGATCATTTTCTTCAACGAAACGAAATGAAAGACACACAATATAATCATATCTAGTGTCACCAATGACTTCATTTAGTGACAATGATTCATTCATAATATTTAAGCTCTTATCTGTGGCGAGATTTCTAGCCCATGACGTGATTAACGCGATTTCTTTTCGCTTTTCCTCGAGCCATGATTCTAGTTTTCGCTGATTAAATGGCGATGAATCAACTTGTTTAAACAAATTAAATAAAACAGATTCTTCAATACCAGTGTTTCCTCGTAGTTTTGGTAGATTCAATGCGATCTCTTTTTTCAAATCCTCTTGGATTTCCTTCAATCGCTCGACAAAATCCAATAAATGATTTTTCATATAATCAAAATGTGTAAATATCGCACTCTGTGATAAATCTGATGCTCTTACTTCCAAAGAACGCAGTTTTTCAATTACCGACATTGAGTAATCAATCAGATTCGATGATATATCTCGAACGATTCGCATCGCTTTATTATCCAGTAAATGTAATGGATAGAGCCATACCTTTTTTGGTACGGCGTTTTCATTGTTTTCACCTAATAGTGAAGGCAATTGACGATAAATTTTAACAGCTTCAGCAAAGGTATTTGGATTTGCATTCAAACGAAAATCACCATAAAATTTACAACGCAACTTATCAACGAATTTCTTTTCTTGTTCGGTTAAATCAAATTTAGCTTCCCCGTCGATTTTAAATATTGGATTGTCAAATACCGCTCTTAATGAACCGCTAATTTCTTTTTTAGATTCACCATTCGATACTGTACGATCAAATATAAAAAATGCTTCGGCACCATAAAGGACACCAGTAACGACATGTGTTGCGAGATCTATGTCATGTAAATCTGGATGATTCAGATTACCTTTACCAAGATGTTTCATTGATAAGGTTTCCATATGTGTTGTAGTTGAATATTTTAGTGTCAGACGGGTTTCATGGTTTGTCCTTTGATAATCTTCAGCATATTTTGCAGAACCTGAAACACGGATTAGACCACCAAGTAGACTTAATTTTAAACTAGCGTCGATTCCTAAAGCGTGTGCCTTATTCTGTAATGAATCTTCAGCGATTATTTCAAAGCCAGTAAACGGTTGTTTACGTAAGATTGTATTGTTAGCCAAGATTTCTGGATCCCATAGAGTAACGGCAGTGATTATTTTATCACTACGCATATTATAGAGCGTACCCAAATGTAATGGACGTCCCAATGTAACCATTGTGATTGGTTGTTGTTTGGCCATTATTTTCAATGACCCATAATAAGTAATTAAAAATATCAGGCGTAAAATAAGCATTGAATTTTCCTTTATCCTTTGTTTATGCAACTAAAATATTTAAAAAAATTCCAGTTTACGATATGCAAAACTACACATTGGTTTGTGCCCCGAGATGAAAGAGAATTTCAGAACTCTGGTTTCTTGAAGAGGCTATGATCATTGCTCTATCACTCATCTTATAGAAAACAAAAGATATATTTCATTAAATCTGTATAATAATAGAAGGTTAGAAGGTTACACATGGGACTGTGTAGATGATTTCATGATTTCGAGTCACTTAATCCGATTCATGAATTTTAACATTGTCTTTTCGTTGGTAGATGCGTGATCTAACCCACAGATTTGCTAGTGTAGATATCAGATTCTAGTGTTGAGAGTGAGTGTGAGGATGATGATTACTTCTTCATCTTTACCTTCACCCTCACATCCTTAAGACAGGAGATCAGTCTGTTTTTCGATTTATTTATCCTCACTCCCCTCCCCCCCCATCCTTCCTTCGGCTACCCATAGGGAAATTGTTTGAATATTAACGGGGAAAGCCTCCGATTCTGAAGAGGACTTATAATTTGTCGACGAATTTATAGCATTCATTCTGTTTAAAACATATTCTAACTCTCGCTCAAATAATGTTATTGAATCAAAACTGGAGTTAGAAAAGTACCTTATATCTATGAATGCATGCTTTAATAAGGCATCTCAGTATAAACTTCATCAATTCGACGCCCGAACAACAATCACGATTTACACCAAAAAGCTCGAAAAGCTTCTCGAAAGAACGAATATGAGAAGAACCTCTGATATCGGTTGTCTAATTATATTTACCAAATAATCTAAGTTCATACTAAATAATGTGAAACATCGAAATATGTTTTCGCTTGTATCTACTTAAGAAAATATTTTGAATATACAGAAGCGAAAAGAGAGAAACGAAATTATACCCAAACTCTAATATTTTGGTGAGTTCAGATGGTAGATCAAAACCCGAAACAAAAATGATTAGACCAAATCTAAATCCAACTCCCAAATGGCTTGAATTTGGTAAATTTCTCACTAGCATCAAATGTACTTATAGATATTGACGTATTGGACTTAAATAAGGTTTTTTATACTTTTTTCTATTTCTTCTAGTACAATGAATGTCGATTATAAGAGGCACAAGAAGGAAATAACATACAAACTTACCTCTGTTAACAGCGTTACAACAATTCTTATATGAATATGTGTGGATGTCTGTATATATATCCAAGACGTGCGAATGATATATTGCTTATGTTTCAAATAGTTAGTGATAAACCGTTCTCTATTCGTATAAAGAATGTCATCACTCGATTCGATATGGGTTTTTTTCCTCTTCTTCCCTTACTAAGGTGCCTTTTTATCAAGGATTGGTACTGCTATATATTCTTACATGGTAGAAAATATCATTATATGCGTTGTAACAAATTACTTGATGAGACAACGAGAAAAGAAGAACTGTGCTTCTGTTCTATGAAAATAACCATCTAGGATAGAAGAAGATAATCTGCAAGATTTTTCCATATACTAAGGAACAGCCTGGTCATAGATATATTCGACTATGGGTCATTTGTTCTTTTTCTCTTATTCTGTCGTCGTCGTTACAGATAACCAAATGGGGAAAATCCCTCATTATATAGCCAAGTAATACATAGGTCACGATGCTTCTTTCGTTCTTATTCTTCAATGTTTGCATTAGCAGAGCGAGAGAGAAGTGAAATAAAACATTGAGGAAATGATTTTCAGAGAAAGAACAATAAGAGGCGTTTTTTTCGCTCAAGAAAGACAGTTAAAAATGTCCACCGATAAAACTATCTGAAATCAATCAAAATGACGTTTCGTCTTCGCGTACTCGCGACAATATTTGATGCCCATTTTCATCCAAACAACTATCACGATTTACATCCCAAACCTTGAAAAGAATGTAGAAAAAATGAATACGAGAAGTTCTTTTATTGGTCGAGTATGGAGTTCACAAAATAATTTTATTTTGATACATGACACTCTGAAACATCAAAATATGTTTTTGTTCCTATTTATATGAAAGAAAATATTTTGAATACATCTAAGCCAAAAGAGAGGAACGGAATTATACTAAAACTCAGATAGTTTAGTAAATTCAAGTACTAGATCCTCACTCCTCACAACGAATTAATACAAGTGTCTATGACACATGGATGTTAGATTTTAAAAATTAATTGAAAATGAAGTTCGTGGATTTACTGAAACTACGACAAAAATATAAAGGGCATTTATTTCACAATGGTTATACACATTCTTGGCCACTTATTTTTTCAATTAGACCTTATTCTTTTTTTGTGTAATTTTGCTTTTTGTGCTGAGAACTGTTATGGAGAGCTCTGATGAATGTTTATATTTCAATAAAAAACACGGGACACGTTGGTGAAGTTAAATTCGACATTGATTCCTAATTCAAAGCACAATACACTGAAAAAAAATCCGTTTTCCGAAACCTTTTTTAATGCTAAAAAGGTTTTGAGATTTGCAACGAATTCGAAACCCTTTTTTAGTATCGTATAATACTGTTCAAATTTTCCAAAAACGTTTCCTGGATGCTTGTGAAGTCTTTTTAAGAGTTTCATAGTATTTTGTACGAAACCCTTAAAAACGTCCAGGGTTTCGCAGTATTATGCGAAACCCTTAGAAAAGTTTAGCGAAACCCGCAAAAAAATTTTGATGGTTTCGTACAAAATACTATGAAACTCTTAAAAAGACTTCACAAGCATCCAGGAAACGTTTTTGGAAAATTTGAACAGTATTATACGATACTAAAAAAGGGTTTCGAATTCGTTGCAAATCTCAAAACCTTTTTAGCATTAAAAAAGGTTTTGGAAAACGAAATTTTTTTTTCAGTGTATGTACACTACTTGGAATTTCATTTCGATAAAAGATTGATTGTTGAAAACCAAAAGTTGAGACTAGCAGATTGAACTTATCTACTTCTTCAAGAGATAGGTAGGTCTGTTTTTCAATTGATTGATGCTCACCCTCATTTCTCTAACAGCTAGATAACC